GCAACAGCCATATCCAGAGGACAGCCTTTCACAGAACTATTGACATTTTTTTAGCTCTTACATTCTTTCTGTCTCCTCTTTCATTGTTTCCTGGACTTTGGGAGGGAGGATACAGATGCTCTGTTTAGACTGAGCTCTCAGCAGTCACTTATTCTCAGTGTTTTGATCAGTTATGCATCTCTGCATTGTCACCCACTGTAAACAGAAACTTTTCTGACCAATGCTGACAGCAGTAACAATCTACATATATAAATATAAGCATTTAGAAGGCAGTTTGACACCATGCTCATTTTTAAAGACAAGGTCTCAATATGTAGATCAAGCTTGCCTCAAACTCACAAAGATCGGCCTGTCTCTGCCTCCTGAGTGCTAGGATTAAAGGTGTACCACCACTCCTGGCTATCATGATCATTTTAATAAAACAATAGTAGTAGGCTCCCCGTTAGGGAATATGACCCAGTCGTGGACTTTTGGCAGGCTTTGCAGTACTATGTAGATGTAACCAATCGTATTATTAAAATAAGAAACACAGAGCCAAGGTAAAAGAGAAAAGCCGAGAGGTCAGAGCTCAGAGATAAAATCTTACCTCCTGCAGTGCTCCTAGCTTCCCCGAGAGAGGGAGGTACTTCCTGTGTCCCTGTTTAAATAATCTTTCTGTTCTGCCTTCTCATTGGTTGTAAACCCAACCACATGACTGCCTCATCACTGCCTGTAAGCACCGCCCTCCAGGTCTTAAAGGCGTATGTCTCCAATACTGGCTGTATCCCTGAACACACAGAAATCTACCTAGCTCTTCTAACCACCATGCTCTTACTATGGCTCTAATAGCTCTGACCCCAGGGCAACTTTATTTATTAACATAAAATTAAAATAACATTTTAATACAAATAAAATATCACCACAGTACTAGGCATGAACAGACATCAAATCTAATCAGAAAGTAGTTGGTTGTGCTAATAACAGTGATGCCACTATGACACCACCAAGCATATATTCCCTGAAAGGTTGGTATTATAGCTTGCAGGACTAGGTAAGATTATTGATAACTATCTTAGTTACTTTACTATTACTGTGACAAAAGCACCAGGATCAAGGCAAATGATAAAGCATTTAATTTTGTAGCTCACAGTTTCAGAGAGTTGGAGTCCATGTCCACCATGGGGAGCAGGCAGTAGGGCATGGTACTGAAACAGTAGATGAGAGCTTACCTCTAATCTATTAATATGAAACAGAGATAGCTAGCTAACTGGGTATGGAGTGAACTTTTGAAACCATAAATCCCACCTCCAGTGACACACCTCCTCCATTAATGCAGCACCTCCTAATCCCTCCCAAACAGTTCTATCAACTGGGGACCAAGTATTTAAATATATGAGCCTATGAGAGCTGTTGTCATTCAAACCACCACAATGACTTTCCCCAAGTAGTACCTTCAGCCACTGTGAAAGCTAGCCAACAGACAAGAAGTTTCCAGGTCAGTTCCTGCTCAATTCTCTATGCTCTGCAGCCAAAGTACGTGATGTTCTCAGCAATAGATCCATCTCAGTACTGAGAGACAGCCAGAAGTAATAGCAAATCCCTACATTGTTTTGGGAACTGCTGAACTCCCTGCACAACAACTCTAAGAATGTATCATACCGAGCAGTGGGATTTGGTGAATAATCTGTAGCTTCTAGGATTATTGTCATTCACTTATGAGGGATACTGCCCTAAAATTCTTATATCACATATGATCTGCTATCCCACTTCCTCCTAAGGACTCTCTTTAACCCCAGGGGCCCACTCTATTTCCTGCCCTTCACAGGCACTCGAAGTCAAACAAACAAATCTAAAAATTTGAAGTTTATATCCACATATGAGAGATAATTTCTGACATCTGTCTTTTATGGTCTGGGTTACTTCACTCAGTGTAATGTTTGCTAGTTTCATCTATTTTCTTCTAAATTTTATAATTTCATTTGTCTTTACACTAAATACCACATTGTCATTATGCATCATATGATGGGCATTCCATTTCCTAACTATTGTGAACAGAGTGCAATGAACATGGATTTGCAAGTATCTTTATAATAGGATAGTATGTTAGTTACCTTTTTGTTGACTTGACACAAGCTAGAGTCATTTGGGAAGAAGGAAACTCAAATGAAAAATTGCTTACACCAGATTGAACTGTGGGCAATCCTGTGTGGGCATTTTCTCAATTAATGATTGATGGGGGCAGGGGCAGATTACTCTGGGTGGTGCCACCTCTCTGCAGGTGGTTTTTAGTTATATAAAAATCAAGTTGAGCAAGCCATTGGGAATAAGCACATAAGCAGCATTCCTTCATGGTGTCTGCTTCAGTTCCTGCCTCCAAGTTCCTGCCTTGACTTCCTTCCGTTATGGACTATAAAGTGGAAGTGTAAGCCAAATAAACCTTTTCCTTCCCAAGTTGTATTTGGTCATGGGATTTTACCACAGAAATAGAAACCCTGACTACTAGGTTCATGTGATATTTCTGTGACTGATGTGGTCATGTTTTGGGCAAGACTTTAGAACTTTGAACTAGAAAAGCCATTGAGTATTCAGAGTTTAATGAGTGATTGTGGGAACTTAGGAGATAATGCTGAAGGCAGTGCCAGAGATGGAGGCCTGCCTTGTGAAGTTTCAGGGGGAAATTTGAGAATCCCATAAAGACTCTATCAGGACCATTCACATTTTTGAATTAAGACTCTGTGGTCAGCTGGGACAGAAGAATCAGCTATGATTGAGAAGAGACTAGAACCATTAAAGTCAAACCTTTGCTTTGCTGGGACAATCAATACTGATTAGCTGGGGATGAAGACTTAGCTATGATTAAGAAATGATCAGAATCTCTGAGGCCAAATATCTAGGAAGTGTTTCCTCAGGGTCAGCACACAGAAGTTGTGGTCCAAAGGCTATACCTAGCAGTAGAGCTTGGTAATATGAGTTCCCCTTATGACATTAGTTTTGAAAACATGAAGCGATCATGGAGAGCAGCTGAGGCTTGGTACTATAAGAAGCCAAGAGATGCCATTGGTGAAGGTACAGTATGTAGAATATTGTTTTAAGATGTGTTACACTTGTTTATGCTGTGGAACACTTGTTTAAAAATGTGTTGCATTCTTTTTGTTGCATTTGTTTAACTCTGTGAAGCTGTGTTACTGTGCCTGTCTAAAACACCTGATGGTCTAATAAAGTGCTGAACGGCCAACAGTGAGGCAGGAGAAAGGATAGGCAGGTCTGGCAGGCAGAGAGAATTAATAGAAGGAGAAGTCTGGAAGGAAAAGAAGAAAGAGCAAGATAGATCAAGGAGAGAGAGGAGGAGGAGGAGGATGCATGGGGCCAACCATCTAGCCACACAACCAGCAATGGTGTAAGAAAGACAAAAAGATTACAGAAATGGAAAATGGTAAAATCCCAGAGGCAAAAGATAGATGGGCTAATATAGGTTAAGAAAAGCTGTCAAGAAACAAGCCGAAGCATTCATAAGTAAAAATATGCTTCAGTGTGTGATTTATTTGGCAGCTGGGTGGTGGAACTCCCAAAGAACAAAGAATAAAAGGGTAAAAAAAAAATACCAACAGCAACAGTACAGCCTCAATTGCAGTAAAAGCCCCAGGACTGAAGGAGTCATAGTAAGAAGTTGAGGTTTGGCACCATGTAGCAGGATCAGAGTCCCTGAAGAGAACCAAGGAGTAGTTGTTAAAGGTACAGCCTAGCTGAGGCGAATAACCTAGCTTATTTGAGATACCAATATCTAGGGATGGCCGCAAAGTATGAGCTATCTCTCTAGTGCCCTGAGTTATATAGGAAAGTAGGGGGAGCAAGCCATGTGGGGCAAGCCAGGAAGCAGCACTCCTCCATGGCCTCTGATTCAGCTTTGCCTCCAGGCTTGACTTCCTGCCCTGACTTCCTTTAGTGACAGACTGTTACCTGGAAATGGAAGATGAAACAAACCCTTTCCTCTCTGTCTTAGTTAGGGTTACTATTGCTGTGATGAAATACCATGCAAAGCAACTTGGGGAGGAAAGGGATTTTTTGGCTTATATTTCCATGTCACTGTTCATCATTGAAGGAAGTCAGGACAGACACTCTAATAGGGGAGGACCCTGGAGGCAGGAACTGATGCAGACAACATGAAGGAGTATAGCTTACTGGCTTGATTCCCATGCATGGCTTGCTGAGCCTGCTTTTTTATAGAACCCAGGAGCACCAGCCCAGGGATGTCACTACCTTTAATGGGTTGGGTCCTCCCACATCAATAACTAATTAAGAAAATGTCCTACAGGCTTGCCTACAGCCCAGTCTTATGGAAACGTTTTGTCAACTGGGGTTCCCTACTCTCAGATGATTCTAGCCTGTGACATAAAATTAGCCAACATACTCTCCAAGTTGTTTTTGGTCATGGTGTTTTATCACAATCATAGAAACCCAAACTAAGATAGATATAAAGTCCTTTGAGTCAGAGGTCAAATGGTAATTCTATTTTTACCTTTTTTATTACACACCACTTCAATAAAGTCTTTATCTTTAAGCATTTTCTAGTCTAATACTGGATATAGAAAAGTAACTTTCAGTGTGGCAAGTGTTGAATACATCTGTAGGAGGAACATTTACCCTGCTTGACTATAAGGGAAGCCACTATCACTGGAATACTTAAAGCAAGTCAGGAAGAGTAGGGATAGATAAGATGGGGTCACCAGTTCCCCCAAACAAAAGAAACATAGTCCCATAAGTCCAGATAAAGAGAGTGCCAGTGAAAATGGAGACCATTTTGAAAGATTTAAAAGCTAAGGGGCTGGGAGGTGGTGGCGCACGCCTTTAATCCCAGCACTCAGGAGGCAGAGGCAGGCAGATCTTTGTGAGGCCAGAGTGAGATCCAGGAAAGGCACAAAGTTACACAGAGAAACCCTGTCTCAAAAAAACAAAACAAAACAAAAAACCAAGGAGAGAATGGAAGACACATTTCTTTTGTTTGTTATTGTTTTTGACAGGATCTTCCTCCCAGACTTCAGCAGTCCTCCTCCCTCAGACTTCTGAGTACTGACACTGTAGGCATTCGTATTCTAAAACTTTGGGGGACGACTTCAGAGCATAAATGGTGAGCAGAGCTTTTCTGTGGTCCTTGCTTGCACCCTGGCAGTGTCAATGGGATGGAAGCCCTGGGGATGGGGTTGCTGTGGTCGGGATAGTGGGTTAGTGCAGAGCACTTACAGAGCGCACATTCCTATGTGACCCTGACCTCGTCCCCAGCACTGTAAGAACAAAGTGGACTTGACTGCAGAGCCATCTCTGCAGCCCTAACGTATGCACCTTTTCAATAGAGCATTATTACTATTGCATCTAGCAATCTACAACTGTCAAGATAGACATATATACAATTTTTCATGTAAGTTTGCCATTTAAAGCATCATGGTCATTCTTTTTCAATTATAGAACATACAGAGAGAGTACAGATAAACAATTTAAAATATATTAGGATGTCTTTTCATTAGTACAAGTTTATATTTAGCTTAGTAAATAGTTGGGGTGGCAAGATGGCTCAGTGGAAAAAAGGTACTCAATGGGCAAGTCTGAGTTTGATCCCTGGAACCTACATAAAGGGATAAGGAGAGAACCAATTTCTCTGACTTCCATGTGCATGTCATAGCATGCATGCATGAATATCTAAAGCATCATCATCACCATTCATGCACACACATATATAATTATAATAAAAATTAAGAACAAATAGTCATGATCATATATAGAAAATACAGCCATAAGTATATAAATATTGGCCAACACACACACACACACACACACACACACACACACACACACTTCTTGGGTTAATCACTGGAGAGGGCTTAAAGCAACAACTCTTGAGTAGTAAGGAGTGTGTCCAGCAGTCAGCACTTGTGGAGAAAGAACTCACTCTTGGACCAGTACGAGAAATATGCAGGGTAGGTCTGGAATATCATATAGTGCCAGAACACGAGGAAGTGCCGCCCTCCCCCAGACTCAGAACAAACATACTACTTCCTGCACTGGTGGAGTACCCAAAGGAGCTGACCAAGAAGCTCCTAGTGAGCAAAGCTAGAACAATATGAGTTCAGTTTTGTTTTTCAATTATACTAAGTCATCATTTAAAATATTGAAACAATATGCTCATGATTCCCTAGTGACATAAATGATTGAATAAATCAAGAAATGAGAAAAAAGAAACAAATTTCCCATGGAGAAGAATTCCAAAAATTTCATGTAGACATTCTGCCCTCAAGGATGTGCCGTTTAAACCCCTGCTCCTTAAGCATGAGCTACATATGATGACTTCTTCAAAGATGGCAGAATGGAAAGAAGGGTGGGGAAGGGAAAACCACTTTACAGTAGAAAACTCTCCTAAACCTTGCCCAAACCGAGGCCCGACGGTCAGTTTCAACAGTGATAAGCCTGTTGACTGTATCCCTGTGCTTTGTGATGAAAATGGCACCTTACCTCTGTGATTTTTTTCATCCAAGAGAATAGAACCGCCGTCTATCCATATGAAGTGTCAGATCCCAACCGAGTAGCAGCCTACAAGATATTGGTGAGTTCTCAGATTTGTTAATATCACTGAAAATGGGGACATTCTGAGAAACTAACAGTCCAGAGGAGCCTAAGAAATCTCACTGACCAAATGTGATGTGGTATCTTGGGTAGGTTCATGGAGCTGGGACATTATGTTAGGTAAGAGCTAAAGAAGTCTAAACAACCATGTATACATACTGTTTCTGAGTTGGGGCAAATGTAGCATGCAGATTTAGGAGGTTAATGTAAAGTATAGCATAAAAGGGCTGTGTGGTCTTTTTTTTTTTTAAGACAGGGTCTGGAACTGGCTATGTAGACCAGACGAACCTCAAAATTATAGAGATCAGCTTGTCTCTGCTTCCTGAGTGCAATTTTCTTGATTGCTCTATGAATCTAACACTGTTCCAAAATAAATGGTGTATTTTTAAAAGTCTTATGTCCATCCAAAACTAGTTTCATGAGAACATTTCCAGAAAAATACTCTGCTTCTATGTCTGGATATTCCCATTCAGTCCTCCTTCCCTTCTGCTCAGTTTCTCTACTGAGCTCTTGACCAGAAGGCTGACCTTACACACAACATCAATAGGCCCCTTCCAGGAGCACAAGAGCAGTACAGGGAAGAGGAACTGCAACAGAAGATGAAGGAGAGAGAATTTTCAGTGTGCCCCGGACTCCTTCCTTGCTGAATGTGAAATTATTAATAGCTCTGGTTCTCTGCCTGAGTGAGTGATCTGATGGGCAGTCTTCTGCAGTAACACGGTCCTGGCGACAGCTCCCTCCTTCTGCCCTCTCAGATTGGGACATTTAGGGGTTGACAGCTCCGTGAAGTCACTCCTGAAGAACTTTGCCCTGTTTTCATGTTCCTTTACCGGCCTACCCTTTTGTAAGCAAGCCATTGGTTAACTCCATCTGAATATGCCATCTTTTTTAACTTTTTTAAGTAATATACAAGTATATATCCCTCCATCTACATAAACATTAGTATACTGTACACTTTTCTGGCTTCTTTTTTTCCATCTCAGCATAGTTTGAGTTTCTTTCTGTCTATATATACTGGTTACCTTATGAGTGTCCCATTTCTGTGTATAATATACTTGTAAACTTTGTATAAAAAATGTGAACGGAAAAATGAAAGTAGGTGAGTGTTGTCTGTTTATTTTTTTACTCTAACCCCACATTGGAATGCCAAAAATGTAGTTGGTTGTTTTTTTTACTCTTTGGCTCTTTGCTCTTTGGGGCTGCCACCCAGCTCCCAAGTAAATCACACAGAGGTTTATTCTTTCTTATAAATGCCGGGCCTTAGCTTGGCTTATTTCTTGCCAGCTTTTCTTAACTTAAATTAGCCCATCTATCTTTTGCCTCTGGGCCTTTACCTTTCTTTATTTCTGTATATCTTGTCTTTCCTTCTTATGCCCTGTCTGGCTGTGTGGCTGGTCCCTTCTTTTCTCACTCCTTTATCTCTTCTCCCAAGATTTCTCAAATTTATTCTATCTGCCAGCCGGCCCTGCCTATCCTTTCTCCTACCTGGCTATTAGCCATTCAGCTCTTTTTTTTTTAAATTTTAAAACCTCCTTTAATCCTGTTATCCTGTAACAATAATAATAAATGGCCTTTTATCATTTCCAGCAAATAAAGATACTTTATTTATGGTACATTCAGTTGAGGCAGGTCCAAGCCCCTCCTCCCTGCACCAAGGCTGCACAAAGTGTCTCACCATAGGGCTCCAAAAAGCCGGCTCATGCACTAGGGACAGGCCCTGATCCCACTGCCTGGGGCCCCCCTAAACAATTCAAGCTAAACAACTGTCTTGCTTATCGAGAGGGACTGTTCTAGTACCATAGGGGCTCCTCATTCAGCTCTTTATTAGACCAATCAGGTGTCCCATTTAGACAGGCACAGTAACACAGCTTCACAGAGTTAAACAAATGTAACAAAAAGAATGACACATATCTTTGCATCATTAAACAAATGTTCCACAGCATAAACAAATGTAACACATCTTAAAATAATATTCCACAATAGATGAGGGATCATTAATCAGATGAAGTGATGAGATAATGGTGAGGTGAGCTGATGCTATGATACCCTGGTTTCATAGTAGTTAAGTTGGCTATGGAGTCAAACTGCTTGGCTTCACGTTCCAGCTTGGCCAAACCATAGACAAATTATTACTTATCATTTCTACATATGTTTCCTCAAATGTAAATTGAGAATTATAACACCTATCTCTGCAATATTTATGCTTTCTAGAGTCTTAATTTCCAAGTCACCTTTCAAGTCCAACTATACAGGACAATGTGGCATGTGACTTACCTTACTTAACATTAGAGAAGACCTAATTGGTATAAGATGCAATTCTACCCTGAAATCTATTAATGATCTATGAGATAATTAGAAATAATTAAATAATGTAGTGGTATTTGGTTCACCCATGACCTTGGGCTATACAGTCCAAAGGAGGTGATGCTTCTTGCTGTTGTATGTGACATCTTAAAAAGAAAGGGAGAGGGGTTACAAGGCCTGCTTCTTGCTTTCTGGCATAATCAGACAGTCAGGTAGATTCACTCGCAGTCAGAACAGAGGATAACTTCGGCTGTTTACTCAGTTCTGTATTCATGAGTGTATTTCCTCAATTTATATTCTAATAAATTCCCTAACACTCTTTAAGCAGACTCCTATGAATTTCTTGCTTTATCTGGCACCCAACCATGTGGATCTGAGCCCCACATGCCCCTCCTGGGGCTACTCGGTGACCAAACTCTAACCCTATGGGTGGCTGCTAGTGAGTTTCTCCACACTGCAGAGCCCCCATGCAGCCCAAACCCCCCAGGAGCTGCCTGATCCCTGCTCAGGTGACCACCTGCATACAACAGCCATGTGGGGAGCCTGTAGGCCAGGCTGCTCATGCAGTGTGTGAACCAGGCACTCCCAGGCAAGGCAGCTCATGCACAGTGGTTCTTGTAACCACTGCCAGAAGCACATACATCAGCAGTGGATAGAGCACTGTGTCAGAGAGAAAGGTGCCCATGATAGGTACCTTTCCAGTTCTGTGGCTGTTGTGGCTGGATCAGATCACAGCCTTCCACCTGATACCAGTGGCACTGATCCTTCAGCAAAGCATGCCTGCTCTGCAGTCTGAGCACATAGGCAGTGTTCCTCCCACTGGCCCCTGCCCAGCTCTGAGTGAGTTCCAGTGGCTGCCAGGAGACCACTGTGGGAATTGCTGGTACATTCCGCTTGCCCGCCAGCGACTACACTGCAAGTGGGAGTGCCAGCAGGCTGCTCCCTTCTTTTAAATCTATTCCACGTAATTGCTTATGCTCAAAGGTCAAACAACTTCAGAGCTCGAGCCAGAGTACAGTGCTTCAGGACCTGCCTTGGCACCACACCTGTAACACCTGCTGGCCAAACATCTCTACTATATCCAAAAATCATTGCCCAAACCAGCCATTCACCCTACCTGGTTAATTAAGAGCCTGGGACATCAGGAACATGTAGGACTCCTAGAAGAATCTCTCGAGGATCTTATCTATGGTAAATCACTTGATAATTTTACACTTTAAACTGATTAATAAATAATATTTTTTCTTTCCTTTTCAAATTTTAAGTATTTCTTATACCATGGTGGATAATATAACCATTCAGGAATTTAAAAACTTCTTTGTTAATACTATGGATGAAATTTTGCAAGACACATATGACCTTCCTGGGATGTATACAATTTTTGCCATAATGGTGATTAGCAAGTAATTGTAGCAGGAATCTTAAAAGTTCTTATTAATAAAATCAAACCCGAGGACAGTTATTGGGGTGAATACTGGAAGGTCAGAGAGACAGAACAAGCCACAGCTATCTCACCTTGCCAATTCCTCAGCTGGTCCTGTTTCCTCAGACTGGAAGCTTCTGTGTCTTTATCCCGAATGAATCTTAGCTGAACTGTGTTGCTCCAAAGCCTGAATGCTTAACCAGCCAAATGCTGAACCAGCCAAATGCCTCTAGTTTCTGGTCCTCACGCCTTATATATATCTTTCTGCTTTCTACCACCACTCTCTGGGATTAAAGGCTGGCTTTCTGGGATTAAAGGCGTGTGTTACCATGCTTGGCTGTTTCCAATGTGGCCTTGAACTCACAGAGATCCAGAGGGATTTCTATCTCTGGAATGCTAGGATTAAAGGTGTGAGTGCCACCATTTTCTAGCCTTTGTATTTAGTGGCTGTCTGTTCTCTGACCCCAGATAAATTTATTAGAGTACACAATATTTTGGGGAACACAATACCACCACAAGTAATTCATATCATATTATTAAAAAGCTGGTTTAATAACAGCACCAAATATGAGACATTAATAGGACTGATACAGACTTTGCAAATGAGAATGAGAACTTAAATCAAAGGAGTCATTCTGCTAAATTACCACATGAACTTCAGTCCACTAATAATATATGGAAAACCAGATTTAATTCTATTGAAAATAAATGTGAAAAATTATTGGGTAAAACATTAAGTCTGAAAGGCAATCTTAATGCCATACAGATAATTTCTAAGGAGGAATGGTCATCATTAATTGATAGAATGAAATCTTTGGAATCATATATTTATGATGAATATAAAAATTTTTTTGATTCCATGAAGTCACTGGAATCACTTATGGTACAGGAGGTACAGAATTTAGAAAAAGACTGTGGTTAATCAATTTCAAGCTTTATAGGACTCTGTTAGAATTGATAATAAAAGTGTTAACATGCAGAAGGAAGAGGTTAGAGAGGTTATAACATAGCCAGTGCCTTACAGAGTTAGAGATGACTTACCAAAAGTCACAAGCCATGCTATATATTCAGTTACTATTTATGACAAGCCAGCAACTGATAAATATCCTGAAGGATATGTAGAATATAAATGGGAGTCTATACATATGAGAGATTTAAAGAGCATCAAGGAAGCATTCAACATATGTGAAACAGATGTTAAATGTATGGTCTTCTAGAAACAGGATCACATCAAATGACTGGAATCAGTTAATATCAGCTGTATTAGAATATAGCCAGAAGTTACAATGGATAGAAGAGGTGATTTCCAAAGGTATAAAGAGGCATCAAAGTGCCAAATGTTTCAACTGTGGTACACCAGGCCATATAAGAAGAAAATTTTACACAAGGTGCTCCTAAAAGCAATACTTCTTCTAGAAATGATCCAAACAGGAGACCCCCAACCTTCTGGATTATGCAGAAGATTCAGCAAAGACCAACATTGGACCAATGAATGCAGATCAACAAGAGACATACGAGGCAACCCTTTACCATCAGGAAATACCTTGGGGGGCCTCTTACAGGCCCCCAAATCAAATGTGGTCCAGTCATTTCCAGTCCCTCTGGAGGAAACTCCTTCCTAGGACAATTGAATAATCCAGTGCTTAACATAAAAAAGCATACTATACTGGATGATAGAACAGCTTTGGTAGACAGATCACAAATTCCAAAAACCCCATAAAATGAATATTTTGGCAGATTTCCATAAATGAACAAAGACCAAAGCTTAGGGTATGAATTAATAACCTTATACTTGAAGACTTAGTGGACACAGGTGCAAATGTGACTATAATTATGTCAAAATCATGGCATCCACATTGGCCTCTTCAAGAGGTAGATACCCAGTTTCTAGGGATTAGAACCCTATCTCAGGTAAAACAAAAAAGATGGATTGAATGCCCAGGGCCAGAAGGACAGAGAGGAAGACTGAAGCTATATGTGGCTAATATAGCAGTGAATCCATGGGGCCATGATCTGTTACAGCAATGGATTGCCCAGATTAATATTCCTCCAATTTCAGAAGCTGACCATAGAACAATTTATGTTTCTGGGAATAATATTATATGACACTATAAACAGCCACCAACCATTCAGTCTGTACATAAACAGAGCACAATGGCCCTACCTTTAAAATGGCTAACTGATAAACCTGTCTGGGTTGGGCAATGGCCTATAACACAAGAGAAACTACAAGCCTTAGAACAACTGGTTCAGGAGCAGTTAAACACTCGATGTATTGAAGAATCTATCAGCCCTTGGAATTCTCCTGTTATTAAAAAGAAATCTGGTAAATGGAGGATGCTGACAGATCTGAGAGGCATTAATAAAGTAGTTCAGCCTATGGATTTCCTACAGAAT